GGCCGCCAGTAGCGGAGCGCGCGCACTTAACGGCTAAGCCACGGGGCCGGCCCCTCACAGGTGTATTTTAAAATCCCCCAAGTGACCTGCGTGTGTAACCAGGTTGAAAACCGCCACACAAGACAATGATTTCCTTATTCATTTTGTATCCTCAATGTTTACCAGGATGGTAGAAACGTATCAGCATTCAATGCAGACGGATTCAGACTTTTAATGTAATGAAAATTTAATCTGACTACATACAAGTTTTGCCTATAAGCTTGCACAAATCTACCCAAATTAACTGCATCTTCTATCTTTCCTTAGGAAACCATTATTTCTTCCTGCAGTTATACGCAATATTTTCTACATAGCTTTTAGGTATATTTTATTTACTGCCATATTTATTTATCTTTTTAATCTAAATGACTACTAAAGGTTAAAAATACACTTTGTGTCATCTCTCAAGTTTCTGGGTTATCTTCCAACTCTAAATACTTTATTTCACTCTCATGTAAGAGAACAGTTGTCGCCAATGTGTGGATATTCACTTAACATAGGCGGTCAATTGTTGGAACAGTGATACTTAAATTTCATTACTATAATTAGTTTATAAAACCGCTATGTTCCTTACATTCAGAATTAAAATGTCTTACCCTTCCTTCTATTTCTGCCCTTGGCTTCTTTGTGCTCTTTAGGCTTCATCTTGTTTTCTTCTCCAGATTCCCCATCACTCACAGTCAGTTTGTGCCTCAAAAGCCTATGTCTGTATCTCGGCTTCTTAGATTCTTCAGAATCTGAATCTGATTCAGAATTGACTTGATTTTTTCCTTCTAAATAGAAAAAATAAATCAGTAAAACCTTCATTTTTCCTTTAAAATGTTTTGTAAAACTCTTGGTTTTTTTGACAATTATCATGATTTATGAAAAAGATCAGAGCTGTGCATTTACCTTGGTGATACCAGGCAATCTCATACATCAGACTTGATCTATTACTATTATTAAATACTGATTAAATACCACCAATACACATTGCATATTTTTTAAAAGGTGAAAAGTGTTTTGCTTTAAAAGTCATCTGTTTATTCTCAGTAACTCACAAAACATGGACAATTATTACCGGATACTCAAAAGGAGTAAAGGTAGTAAAGTTTTAAACATTTTAATAAACTTCAAATACACGTAGTAAGAGATTTCATGGTCAAATAATCTTCAAAGACTGAATTGATCCAACAACCAAATTATGACATCTTATACTTCTCTCTGGGGAGCTCACCCTCATCTCCTGGGTTTTCTTCACTGTGTTTTCCAGTTCTTTTTTTCCCTTCCTCTGGTTCATCATCTGAAGATCCATCCTCATCAGAGGAAAGATTGGCTTTAATTTCTTCTAAAAGCATCTTCTTGGCAATTCTTGAGAGTAAAAAGACAATAAAAAACTATATATTTGGTGGTGAAGTATAACAATTTAAAAACAAAAAAAAAGAACTCTCTATATCGAAACAGAAATAAATGTGTCGATAGATTTTATATTATAAATAAAAGACTACCAAAACCATGTTTTAACCTAAGCTACCCACCAAAACTTTTCAAAATGCTCTTAGCACTGATTTTTTTCCCTATTCTATACAATTCTGCATTATACTGAAACGATCTCAGGGATATTTCTACTAATTATTTTGACCAATTACAACTTTATGCTGGATAACCTTCCAATCCTATACTTGCTCTGCTGCCATCACTCAACAACTACAAATCAGACAGGCCCACAACAGTAAATCAACTTATTCAGATAGACAACATTCCAAGACAAAACTCCACATGAGAGGCTTTATTCAAGAACACAACATATTCTTAGAAAATCAGTGTGTAATGAACCACTTTATCATGAAACAGAGCCTCAAGCTGGTGGATAATATTTTTGGCCCTTAAATTTCAACTTACTCCATAAATTATGTTAACCAAATGAAAGCACACACCAAACAATAAGTATTGAAGCAATCTGAAATCCCTAGTAATATTCAAGCTAGGGCAGAGAAGAGAAAGGACATGAGTGCTATTAATTACACACATGGGAAAAGAACACAAATCACCATAAGTGAGTTTTCACTTTCCAAAAAAGTACATAGTGCAGTAGCCTCACCCACATCAAAATTTCTCAAGACGCTCTTCAAAGACCAATTTACTAATGGAAAAATCAACTGCTAAAAGCATGAGAAAATACTTCTTTAATACCATATTATGTTAAAATAAAATATATTCCTAATAAATTTCCATGTTTGCACTAAAGGAAGACTTCTGAAAATGTACGATGAAAGCAATCACACAGCTTTTGTGCAAGGGGAGAGGTTTTGCACCTGAGTGTCCAAATTAGATGTGGATATAAATTCATAATTCACAGTAACAAAGGAATACCTTATAAAAAGTTTCAAAAGGAAGGTGGCATGATTCTCAGCTTTCCGTGAACTAACCTCTATGAGATAAACATGCACTGTGCAGTCAAGATTGACCCTCTAGCTCAGTCAAAACTTGCAGCTGGAATTATGGAACTTTTGTTATTTCTGGGTTCTTCTTTGGATAAGAAATATAAAGATATTTCTTAACATGCACTCACATTTCAGTCAAGAATTCATTCAATGGTAGGAGATGTTAATGCATGTTAATGCCTTCTTAATTTTGTTTGAAAGGTAGACTGTTCATTGCTATTTTTATTCAAAGATATATAGCAAAGACACCTAATCAAACAAAGGAAAATAGTTTGAAGCAGAATTACACGGCTTGTGCTGTCCCCCTCAAACAGATGGATCAGAGATATTTAGACAATACAGAGAGTTACCAATTGCTAAAGGAAACCACAGATCAGTTTGCTTTCCTGAGGGTTTCCACCCTGATTTGTGTTTCAATAAAGTGGAGATTAGATCACTCCAATTCAAATCCAACTGGATTTGAGCTACTAAGTGTTTCTCTTAAACTTCGCAATTAGTGGTGCGCTGACTTGGATTGCAGACAGTAAACTTTTTAAACATAGGGACTAACATAGGGTTGCCAACTTTTCACTTTGCCAAGAAAAACATTTAAACCAAAATATCATTTACTTTCACCATTTTATAAAATAAAGAATACTTCAACACATCCTCCAGAAATTAGGAAACAGTGTCAGAATAAAGGGTGGTTCTTTAAATTTAATAAAACCGTCTTTCTAGAAAAACTCTCTAAAATCATCTTTAATACACACTACATTGTCTTTTCCCATGGACAAGGAAAAACTTTCTCAAACCAATTTGGGTAAAACCACTGTCTTGGAATGAATAAATGCGTGCGTGCATGCGCGTGTGTGTGTATAAATAATGTGAAGCACTGGATAGTAGATTACAAATACAAAAACATAGTTCACTTGTAGTTACAGGATCTTATATCACCATTTGGATGGTACCATGTAGTCAACAACAATACAATTTTTAATTTAGTTACTATAAAGGTTACCTCAATTCCCTGATTTCAGTTTGTATTTACAAGTTCAGAACAGTCTTAAATTCCATATTACCTGTAAAGACTTGGTTGCTAATTATAGGAAATCACATAATTTTTCTCCCTTCAAATTCTAGACTCCTAAGAGTATGTCTACCATATGGGAGGTCAAAATATGTAAACCTTCCTAATTCATACTCAAGTTCTGGACTGTCACGAAGAAACTAAGAAATACGATATACATGAGATAATAAGATACAATTCTATATCAAATAATAAATCACATAATAAATCATGGAAAATGAAATGAGATCCACACACTGAAGAGTTACATGATTTTTCAACAACCGTCAGTAAGACCATAATACATAGAACAATCGCAGTCACTTTAGAAGCAGGAAAAACTACAAACTTCAGAGAATGGTCATTTTCCTCCAAATTCAAAGTCACATACAGAGTAATGGAGACTCCCTAAGCTTTACCTCGCTAAGATACTTTAGGTTTGCCCTCTAACACCTTTTGACCAAAGGAAAACCTAATGGATAGCCATGTACATTAAGCCCTAAAAAGAATAATAAAGTGAAATCATTCTGCATAAAGTATGACTGACGGCCCAAGCCCAATATGTCAAAGACCCAGTGTATCATAAACCTAGCTTATCATATAACCTATACCCCAAAGTTAGAACTTAATTTGAAGGACCTAAGGGCTGAGGCTGACCTTCAACCTGAGCAGTCAGCAAACATGCTGAGGTGAGATGTGTCCCATCTACAAAGCCTGCTGTGAGATTCTTTAAGGGAAATTCCACTACCTTAACTCTTGAGTCACGGGCCACAGAGACTTCAAGGACATCATCACTTGAGAACCAGCTGAGGCTGGCAGGGCATCATTTTGGAGGCCTCGGCTGGACCCGTGCTGGTATGCATGTGTTGGATGTATAGTCATGATCCCTAGTTGATTCTGTTTGCTCTGAAGTTTCCTTTCTTGAGGCTTTCCAAGACGTTTCTGAGAAAATCATCCAGGCAACAAGGTACTGCCCCTGGAATCTCAATGCTCAATGTTACATCTTGGGGCAGGTGTAGCATCCAAAGCAGTCACGACTCTATCAGAAGAATTAGAGGCACAGGCTGTGCCACTCTTGTGGCAGAAAACCCGGGCAGAGCCGGAAGTAATGGAGCCACTCCTCCATTTTCCTGAAAGGGAGGGAAGGGAGAGGGGGAAAAAGCAAAACAATATGGGAGGGAGGGTAAAAACCCACAAACAAACCATGATCGAAACTCATGCATGAGAAAATACTAGAAACCCAAAACCCAAACAAGCTAAGTCTTCTAAATCACATAATGAATACCAAGATAATGCCCTATTACACCTTACACCTTCATCTATTAAAAGAAAGCAAAAATAATGTAAGGAATAAGCCCAACAATGCAAAGACGAACAAACAATCAGAAAAAAAGAGAGAGAGAGAGAGCGCCAAGAAAGCCTCTAGTAATTCTGATCCTATCTAGAAAGGATATGAGTAATGTCTCTTGTTTAAGTGCTCAAACAGGAAAAGAAAGTAAACTGCCTCTTGCTGGTAGGTAAATCAGTTAAGTCAAAACGGTGAGTTTCTAAAAAAGGAGTGATCAAGAGAAGAATCTCTTGCACCAGGGAGCTGGAGAGAAACAGCCATTACAAGAGCCATACAAAATGTTAAGGCTGGAAGAAGGGACCTTAGAGTCCAATTCTGTCATTTTACAGATGAGGAAACAGGCTTAGAGAGAGGAAATGGCTTGGCCAAAGAAACAAAGCTAGTTAGTGGCAAAGCCAGAAGTAGCACCTAAGATCCTGAATCCCAATTTGCTACTAACTTGACTATGTCAGTGCCACACTCTCCACTCATTCACTACTTCTATGCTAATGAGTGCTTGGGTGAACACCCTATAGTCACATTTTTAAAGATATCGTATTTCACTGATTTCCAATATATGTATTTGGCAATGAAAGAATTCAAGCTTTGATTGCTAAAGATTAAAGAAAAAAAGAGTTCTAAACATCTTTAGTCCAGTATGCTCCAACTCCAAAATGTACTGACAGGCCATTTCAGATACATTCTGCAATCTACTGTTTTATCTTTTAAGAGGTTCTGAAAACAGCTAAATAAAAGATATATTTTAGAAGGCCAAAATACTGTGCCTCCATACACAAAGATGAAAAAATGTCTTTTGTTTTTTTACATTTTCTGCATAATATCACAATAGAAAGATTAGTTAAAACAGAGAGTTCTGAATAAGACTGTAGGTTTAAATGCATGCCCTTTAGAGATACAACACTAAGTATAAAATGTCATACCACATTTAAAAGTTTGATATGTAAAACAATTCAAATGACCACAGCCAAAGAATGTTGGATAATTTTGTGAGAACAGTGTGGTGAACACATATCCTTCTAGTCGGATATGAGGCTTCGTTTTTTTGTTGTTTTTTTTTAAAGATTGTATTTATTTATTTATTTTTCCCTCCCAAAGCCCCAGTAGATAGTTGTATGTCATAGCTGCACGTCCTTCTAGCTGCTGTATGTGGGACGCGGCCTCAGCACGGCCGGAGAAGCGGTGCATCGGTGCGCGCCCGGGATCCGAACCCAGGCCGCCAGCAGCGGAGCGCTCGCACTTAACCACTAAGCCACGGGGCCGGCCCGAGGCTTCGTTTTAACAAATGTTATATACTTCAGGGTTAAGAATAAAAAATAAAAGATTTCATAGATTACTATGGAATTCCTCACCTTCAAAATCTGTATTAGTATTTTTTAACTCTTTGGTTCAAAATTAGTATCTTGATATGAATCTTCTGTAAAAAATATGACTAGGGCACAATGATCCATAATCCAAAAATGGTGGAATTCATGATATAATGATAAAGTCACTAAATAATCAAAAAAGCTAAACAACAGTTTGAAACAGTTTTTTAGTCACATGTCCTACGATAGTCAAAGTTAATGAAAACAAGCACTGTTTTCGTTTTAAAATTAGTATCAAATAATTTTTTAAAAAATCTTAGGAGTAGAAAAATAAAAGCTGTATGAAATTAAGAACCCACCCTTTATTAACAATTTATACATAGGCTCTAATGTTTGAAGAAACTCGAATTACAAAATGTGTGTTCCCTGATTTTATGTAAAAATCTAAGCCAGTTTTAGAGGAAAGTTTAACAAAAAAAATTTATTAACATTGATATAAATTCAGGAAATTTGATCATGTTAAAGAACTCGTTTAATATTTTTTTATACTTGAAAAGTGAAAACAGAGAATTCATTTGTCTCCATTTTACTTTTAAATTTCAAAGATAAAGACAAAGGAGGCATATATAAAGTCAGAAAAATGAATCACTTTTGCTAACACTAGAGAATCCAAGCTGTCTTTTGGGAGGGGAGGGTATTGCCCATTTTCTGAAAGTCCCCCTATCACCAAAGAACAAAGAACAGGAAAGGAAGGCTGGATATAATGTTTGAATCTTAAGCAGACAGATCACCACTACTGACCATTTCTTTCCTTGCTGAGAATGCTAGCATAAAAAAGCAAGCTGGTGGCAACTGCAACCGGTTTGGATATCTATAAACAGGTCCTATATACTGGCTGGACACCTGTGTTATACTTAAACGACTTACAATACTTACCTGCACTGTAAAGACAAGGTAAATTGGAAAGGAATTACCTTAAAATTGCCAGACATTTAAAACCCTTACTCAAACATAAAAAAAAGTAAAATACTTCCATTCCATAACATTTTAAAATGTTACCTTTGTTTTTCAAGCACAATAGAGAAGAACCAAAGCAATTTTGCTAGCCAAAAGGGACCACCATGGGGAAAAAAAACAAATTTCACAGAAAAAAAATTATTCCAGATTTAGCAAATTTGTATAGAGAATAAGGACACGTATAGAGGATGAACATTTGGAAAAGTGTTTAAAATGGAAACCAAGTGAAAGTCATATGTTGAAGGGACTTGAGTTTTACTCATGCTATTAATCTTTGCTGAAATCAGGTAAACAATCATCAAATATCTTAATGAGCATGAAAAACATCCAGGAATCATTAATCACTTCCCAAAATATGCTGGATTAACAGTACGGAGCCTTCATCACAGAATACCTACACCAAGCTAGTAGGGAAAAAACAATCATTTGCATTTTTTCCAGTTTGAAAAGCAAAGAAATAACCAAATGATAAAATAATTGGAAATTTTTAAGGTTTTGGTGTAGTCCCACTATAATTAAGTAGGACATCTATTAACAATGGGCAATTTCTTTAAGCAATCTCCACATCAAATTTTGCTTCTATGGAAAAAAATTATCTAGCCCCACTGAGAGGAAAAATATGAGAAAAACTATGGAGTATTACTACACCCAATCAAGCATTCTTCAACTATAAAGTAAATATATGTGTGTGTGTGTGGCAGGGGAGCGTATCCATATAAAAACTTCAGCTTTTAGTCAAAATTGGGGTAAAAGAAGAATGCTTATTTAGAAAAAACTCTAGCAATCTAGTTTTCTCTCTTAAAAGCTCAGTTTTAAATATTTTTAACACTCTGCAAAAAATACAAATAAAGAACGTTTCTCAAATAATTCTATTTTCCTGGGGGAATGGACTCTTCAGTCGTTGTTTAGTATACAACCTCTAAAGACAAGCCTGGTTTAAGGATCATCCACACTAACACTGTTAAACACACTACCATCTTATCACTGAGGCTAATTCACAATGCAAGTATTGAAATACAGGACATTATTAGAAAATGTTTGGTCAAAATATCCCTATTTATACTGAAAACAGGAAGGAATCATAATGCATTTTCAATGCCAGCCTAATTGAAGAATTGTAACCATAAGAAAAATATATATAAATACATGTCTTTTCAATGAAAGAACCAATTTAAAACGCAACTAACAGGTATTCAAAAGACGACATTACCATAATGGCACATTCAAATAACTGACTTTAAAATTACGTGCATAGGGGCCGGCCCCGTGGAGTAGTGGTTAAGTCCAGCGTGCTCAGCTTTGGCAGGCCGGGTCGTGGGTTGGGATCCTGGGCGCGGACCTACACCACTCGTCAAGCCATGTTGTGGCAGCAACCCATATATAAAGTAGAGGAAGATGGGCACAGATGTTAGCTCAGGGCTAATCTTCCTCAAGTGAAAAAAAGGTGGGGGAGATTGGCAACAGATGTTAGCTCAGAGTGAATCTTCCTCACCAAAAAAAGAAAAAATGATCATGTGTATAATTTAAATACCTTGACCAACTGGTATTATTATTCTCCCTTTCAAAAAGTATATAAACCCTAATCTATAAAATTTGAAGTAAATTCTCAGTTATACAAAATTCAAAATATAAAGTTAGTCTACTATTTATATATTTTTTAAAAAGCTCAATCAAATAAATAATAAAAGTTACTGTTGACCAATCTATAATATTTTGTCATTTTTTTTGTGTGTATGTGAGGAGATCAGCCTGTGCTAACATCCGCCAATCCTCCTCTTTTTTTGCTGAGGAAGACTGGCCCTGAGCTAACATCCATGCCCATCTTCCTCCACTTTATATGTGACGCCGCCACAGCATGGCTTGCCAAGCAGTGCGTCGGCGTGCACCTGGGATCCGAACCGGCTAACTCCAGGCCGCCACAGCAGAGCATGCACACTTAACCGCTTGCGCCACTGGGCTGGCCCCATGTCATTGTTTATTAAATAAATGCAATTAAATAGAAATTAATTTACAAGTTAGACCACTCTATCTCACAAAGGAAATTAGAAAATACTTTGAGATGAGTGAAGAAAAGAACATATAACAAAAACATCAAACGCAGTGAAAGCATTGCCCACAGGGAAAATTATATCTGTAAATGTCTACATTAAAAAGAAGAAAGATCTTAAATCAATAACCTAACTTACAGCTTAAGTAACTAGAAAAGAAGAAACTATAGGTATCGAAGAAAGTAGATACAGGAGATATATAGAGGAAGAAATTATACCCAAAGCTAGCAGAAT